AATTTCTATTTTCATTATTTGATTTTTTACAGAGCTTTAAATTTAAAGTTAATAATACAAAAATGATGACTTTATACGTCTGTAACTTTTAGAATATTGACGATACAAAAAATTCGCCTTAAACTTTTTTGTGGTCCATCAGACAAGCTAAAAAATTGCCATTTGACTTTTTCGTCTAACTTCAATAGTTTAGCTGAAAAAGGCAAAAAACGTAAAATTTTAAATTTAAAGCTCTGTAAAATCAAATAATAAAAATAGAAATTCGGCTTAATAAGATTTTTTCGTCCAAATTTAATGCTTTGTAAGATTTGGTCATGGATTTTATGAACAAAAAATTTCTTCCTAGGTTGCAAGAATAAATAAGGTAAAAAAGTCAGTTTTCTGTGTTATTTAAGCGGCAAAACTTCAGATTCGATGGAGGACCTCTTAAAATTGAAATTATGAGCTCCGCTTTTAACAGGATATTTGTTCGGACATATTCTACGATATTTTGGGTGGAGAGCAAGAAAAAAAAAATATCGACTTTTTTTGGCACACCCTAATAGACACTTTATCGAAGGAATCTATCTCTAAAGGGTCTTTTGATTAGCGACGGGGAAGCTATCAACATTTTTAGGAAAATAATGAGAAGAGGTTTTAAACAATACTTTGAAGATTATTATATAACACAGTTCAACACGATTTTCCTACCATGAAAAATTTTAACAGATTAAAAAAATAAAGGTTAAAAAAACGTACCCGTGTCTCACCGTTTCACAAAATCACGTCATTTAAATTTTTTACACAGCCATTATTATTATTTTAACCTAAAGACATTTTTAATTCTCAATATATATAATTATTTAAAAACATACAATATTTGAAGAATATATTCTTCAAATATTGTATGTTTTTAAATAATTATATATACTTAAAGAAAATAGCAATTTTAATTTTTTTTAAGTAAAGAAATATTTCTGGTTTAAATTTTTGATTGTTTTTAATAAAACAGGTTTGTATTTATCTTATATTAAATTTATGTTGGAATCAAATCTTGATCTTTTAGTTTGACGATTATAATCATCAAACTATATATATATATTCATTGCTTTAGAATCTGTAGTGGTATCACAACCTAAAAAACACCACTTGATATACAGGGTGTTTCACATTCGTGGTCCATTGGTAGTTTCTGGGGAACGGAAAAAATATCGATTTGAAATTTAAAAGCGTTTATAATACATTTAAATCTATTTTTTTTTTAATATTTTGATCACAATGCCACTTCCAGTTTGACCGGAACTTTGTTATTTCAAATAGAACACCCCCATATATTTTTCATTTTTAAATTCTACATAAAATTCTGAGTAAAATTAATAACAACCCACTGAGCAAAAAAACGTAAAATATATGTAAAATTAACGTCAAAGGTTGTAGTGTGACGTATAAGAATCTTGTAAAATAAACGTCACATAAACGTCGCTGTGATGTGCCTATGTCCGGATCCTGGGCCGTGAATTAGCCCTAACCGTTACGTGGATAAGGAGACGTAAAAATTACGTTTTTAAAAGGACGTAAAAATGCCATTTTAATATCGACGTATAGGTTTTGTTTCCACTTGTACGTAATAGTTACGTTTTTTTAAATAAAACTACCACTTTGGAAATATATTTTTTTTTTATTAAAATAAATAATAAAAATAAAACATAGTCTGATAAACATAATAAAAATAAAACATACCGCCTAATTAATTTTCGGTCTCGGTTCTCATGTCCAAATTTGGCCAAAAAACGTTATGAGCGTTGCTTGGCGGTTTGGAACAACTCCTTGCTCTCTTTATCGAAATCACTTTCAGTCAGACGAAATAATTTCATACTGGCTTCTAAAACAAACATTAATAACTTAAGTTATCTAAGTAATTAAGTATATAAAACTTATATAACTTGCCTGTCGCTCGGCGCAAAATTTGTCTCCCATGTTCACTGGTGTATTAACTGAAAAATCAAATTGATTAAAAGACTTTTCTTTAAGTCTAACAGCATTGATTAATATTACTTCTCACTCAACGCTAACATTTAAATCAACAAAATTCGATAACCACTAATAGCTCCATCATGGAGATATTGGGACAATTAATTAATTATATTATAACTGTATGGTTGCAAACAAATAATAAAGCCAACTTACCTAAACCCATATACCTATAAGTTATAGGTATATGCCTAAACCGTTCAGTCTCGCCTATGGAGAACAATGCGTTTTCTATCACACAGCAACAAATGGCAACACACTGTGTTGAACACAGAACAATGGCAGTCGCAACGCAAACAGAGTATGCCCTGTTACAGGGCCCCTTTTATACCGATATATCGACTGGAAACGAAATTACCCGAGTCCTTTTTTACGTAAATTTTACATAAAATATACGTTTCTTAATCTCACTATGCGAGAATAATTATTATTTTATAAGCGGTAATATTAATTAATAAATCACTCTGGGATTTATATTAAATCATTAAAATAATAATTGTACCTACTTACATTAGTTTCTAAGTAAGTACCTACCTTGGGTTTAATCTAAAATTATGAATTAAATTTGGTATTTAATTATCTAAGTATACACTCAAATTTCCAACAAAAATGTAAATGTGGCATATATTTTAATGTTCATCATTGGCAAACCTATCACATTCATATTTATCATGTGTCACATTGGTGACGTAAAATGTACGTTGTGTTTTGCACCTAATACGCTAAAGTAAAATAAAAGTCATAGACTGGACGGTATAGTGACGTGCTCGACAGCACCTTTTATTTTTTAGCGTAATTTTTACGTAAATTGAACATCACTAAAGAACGTAGTTAATGTGCCTTAAAATTGACAATTTTTAAACGTCACTGTGACATCACCACATCCATAATGTTCAGTGGGAATTTCCTATACCTACCTAAACTAAATAGTTAAATACCTAAAGTTAATAATTCAGATATATTTAACAATTACATCAATCGAAATGATTTTTAATTTCCTATTTGATTATGTAAAAACATACAGGGTGTTTCATTCAAAATAAAATTATTAACGTTTGAAGTTAGCCTAATTTGCTCTGGGTTTTCTTGGGTATCCCAATTATAATTTGTTAAAAAATGTTAAATGTAAAAGAATGTTTTAAGATTTCAAAAATTCCACCCCAATTTCGGCAAACCTAATAGCAAAAATGTTATATATAACATTTTTGCTATAAGGTTTGCCGAAATTGGGGTGGAATTTTTGAAATCTTAAAACATTCTTTAACATTTAATAGCCTATAGGCTATTTTTGATTGACGCGCATTTGTAAAATATTAACGAAAAAAAAAATAATAACTCGAAAACTATTCACTTTATGTAGAATTTAAAAATGTAAAAACATATGGGGTGTTATATTTAAAATAACAAAGATGATATCACTTCCGGTCCAACAGGAAGTGGCATTTTGTTTAAACTATTTTGGAAAAATAGGCTTAATTAAATAATAAACGCTTTAAAAATTTCAAATCGATATCTTTTGCCGTTCCTCATAAACTTTTAATGAACCACGAACGTAAAACACCCGTATTTCGTAAATGTGCAACACCCTGTACATAATTAAAATAATTTTAAAATAAATAAATAATTTTAATGGTTGTCCATTTATTCAGTGAATAAATTTTTCTTAAAAATATAGTCTAGCTGTTATCGAAGCTGTTATATTATGTGCCGAATACCGTGGATAACATTTTATTGAATCGCACTTAAATAAAATAAATGACGTGATCTGAAAAAACTCCGAGACACATTTTATTTTTATTATCATTTTTTTCAAAATCTATAGGAATTTTTCAAGGAAAGGAAAAAATCAAATTTTGTCGAACTGTGCAATCTAAATCGGCCAAGAGTAAGACTTCATGTTTCCAATTTGCTTCAAATTTTCAGGGTCGATAGAGGAACTAAAGTAATGAAGAAATCTAAAATTTCAACCTCTTTTAGGCATTTTTGTAGGTTTTACAAAATAAACAAAAAAAATGTAACTTATTTTTCGATTATTTAAAAACCCGATCGACAAAAAATTTTGAAAAAAATTATATAAACATATTTTTTGACGCTCTTTAATATAAAATAAAAATTAAAAAAATGTATTCAAAAATTCTCAAAAAAAATCTATTTTTTTAATTAAAATTTAAATTCCCAAAAAACTCCACCTCAAATTTAAAAAAAAATCATGGTGATAGCCCTAAGTTTTCCGCAAATTTTGATTATTTATTTTTGGGGGGGACTCAAAAACTATAGAAGTTATGAATTTTTTTGTAAAGAAATGAATGTGAAATGGTCGCTACAGATCCAAGCCTACGCGTATACGCTATAGCTACGCCGCGGCGCGCGGTTCCTAGAGACGTGCGCTCGGTCTAACGGAGAAAAAAATGGTTTAACGGTTCTCTCTCTTTCTCTCACACACACATTAATATTTTCAAACTATATTTTATTAAAACTCCAAATTTTGTTTTTTTTCTAATTTATATGAAAAAACAATCGAATTAAAATATCGTCGATGGTTTGCATGTAACAAACCCAGATTGTGAAAAGTGATTTAAGTAATATATTTTTTAATTGTTCCCAGTATGATCAAAAAGTAAAAATTTAATAATAAAACTGGTTCACCATGGAGTGAACTTTCCGGTTAACATTCTACACTTATTGTTTCTTGGTAATATTGAAATTTGTACCTTGCTGGTATCTTTTTTTAGAGAAATCGTTATAAAAATATAATTAATTAAAATAAGTTAATTTTGTAGTGTTTTCTAAAACCTTTTTCCGCGGCCAACCTATTGTGTGTAATTAAAAAAAAATAATTGGCCCTAGATAATAATCCTTTGATAATCTTCTTCTTTTAATTTTATAAAAATTGTGACTGGCTAAATTAACCACAGTCCAAAGCCAAAAAAAACAAAACAATTTATCATCTGGTATCACTGGTTTGAATAGGTTTATAAATAAAAGTCGTGTTGTAAATAAATTAACAATTATATTTCATAACATCAATGTGTTTATATCAGTTCCACATGAATGCATTGTCGAATAATCCTTTTAAAAAATAACATAATACAAATCTAAACTATGCTACTCTTAAAATCTATTAAGTACAAAGATAATACATATATATAATATATAAAAACGCTTCGTTATATTACAAAAAAAGACGAACAAAATAAAACGTATTTGGTTGCGCTAGAAATATTAACAAAACAAACGTACAAAATTGGTCCGGGGAAAAAAATAATCACAAATTTAATAATTTAAGTAGTTATTCATCATGCGACATTAAAAGCTAAAACTATTTATTTATTTAGTGTGACGGCTTCGAATATTCGTCGAAAAGACCAAAACAAGTCCTTTTATTTATTATTGTAAATACAATATAAAAACTACTGAGCAAACGGTGCCTAATTATTTACTTTAGTTAGTTTATAAAAGCCTACGGAAATTAAAGTATTCAGTCGATAAAATTTTGAGACAATGCTACTTAGTTTTTATATCATTTTTATACTTTAAATGTATGAAGTCTAAATATCTCTGAAACGATAAGAGTAATTTAAATTCTGTTTGACAGGAATGTTTAGAAATACAAACCCCACACATTAAAGCTATAAAAAGTATAAAAAGCAGGCCATTTATTCACAACCCTAAGGTTTACTAATTCACTTTTTTTTGCCATTGGCCGTCACAACTCTTTCCCTGCTATCCTCCCTATTTACACTGTTCCTCCTTGGGGGAGAGTTCCCGGTTGTTACCCGACTTTTTCGCGACCTTTTAAATTTTGCTATATCTTCCCCGAAAACGTCCCCGGTACGTAGTGCGGATATTAAATCGTCAAACTCACCCTTCGGACCTTGATGGCCGTTCGTCAAACTAACACTTTTGTTTATCGACGATAGAATTCCTTCTCTGCTGTGTTTTCTTTCGAGGGTTAATTTTTTTAGCTCCGCCTCCTGCTTGGCGCGTTTTTCCTCCTCTTCCTGTCGTTTACGCATGTTTTCGTTGTCATGTTTTGCCTCCAAAAACGATATGAGGAACGTATCAAAAACTCCGAAGAACTCGTCCGGTTGTGCATTTGTGGAATCTTCCCCGAACAATCTTACAGCCCTTTCAAACCTTGTCTAAAAAATAAATATTATCGAATAAATATATAATAAAATATTTTATAAAGTTCTTTAAAATCGTTAAAAATATTTCGATATATTAGAAAATCGTAAAAGCACACGCAAACCTAATAACAAAAAAGTTATAGACTATTTTTGATTGACGCGCATTTGTCAAATTTTAACTAAAAAAAATTAATAACTCGAAAACTATTCACTTTACGTATAGGATATGGTATAGTAACTATACTTAGAATTTAAAAATATATGTGGTCTTTTTGAAAATATTTTAGAAAAATAGACTTAAATGGATAACCGCTTTTAAAATTTTAAATCGATATCTTTTTTCGTTCCCCAGAAACTTATAATGGACACCGAATGTGAAACACCCTGTGTGTATATAAATTCGACAACACCGCTTAGTAGTGAAAAATTCCTGAAAAGTTCTGGGATTTTTTTTTAGAAAACCCAAAACCTAGATTCCTATGTTCCGGAAATTTTTGGGGAAAAATAATAAAATAAAATAAAAAATCACAAAAATACTAAAAAAGCAAAAAAAGTAGATATAAATTTGGCAACACCTAAATAGTGCTAAATATATCCTAAAGATTTTGAAAAATTCTCAGATTCTGTGAATTTTTGGAAATTGAACAACTTGAACAAATTGAACACTTAAATAGTGCAAGATGACTGACTAAAGGTACCGTGAAGATTTTGAAAAATTTTCAAGTTCTGTAATCTTTTGGAAATTTGGCAACGTCGCAAAAAATTTATAAGTTAATTAAAAAAAACAAAAAAGTATAAAAAACAAAAAATGGTCCGTATAAAAAGCCCATATACTATCTCTATGCAAAAAATCACGTCGATCCATTGCTCCGTTGTTGCCTGGAGGGCAAACAAACACACTTTCGCAAATATTACCCATAATTTGTGCGGTCTGCGTGCTTAATATGGCCCAAAAACATTTTAAAATATACAAACAAAAATAATAATAATAATAATAATAATAATAAATGCTTTTATTGGCAAACTGTTTTACATAGGTATAAAAAATAATATTCTATGAACACTAAAGAATAGATAACAGTTTGTCAAAGGCAGAGTTCAGACTAAAGTGTCTGCTCTTCCACTCAACCATGGTAAAAAGATTGTGAAGTAATTTCCAAAAAAACTTTAAAAACTTTGAAGTTGAAATTTATTTATGAAATATAAAAAAATAAATTTATTAATATTAAAGAAAAAAATCTAACCTTCATATCTTGGTAGAGATCCTCGATCTCAGCGAGTCTGCATGTAGCTGTAGCTTGGAATTCCCTCATCACGGGTACGAATTTATCGTTCGCAATAGGACTTTGTGTTCTATGGAACTCTATTTCTTTCGCCACGTCTTTTAGGCCGGCTCTTAAATGCGCCATATCTTTGTTCAACTCTCCAAGAGATACTTTTGAAGCATCTCTCACATGTGGGATGTCTTCCTCCAACCTCATGATGTCTTTGAACTGAAAATAATATTCAATATCAACCATATATAAAAAAAGCTTATTTTCCATACCTTTTTCTCCAGGATTTGTATCAGGTAGTGCAACAATGTCGTCCCCTTATTCGCGCTTGATTTTGTATCTGTAAGCCTATTCAAGGAAGTCAACCTGAAACCTGAGGCGTTACCTCTGGCGCCTCTGTTCATATAGTTTCCCAGTGCCAGAACAATTTCCAGAAGTCTTCTTAATCGTCTGGATCTGGAAACTTCTCTGGAAGCTTCCATCACGTCCGTGATTCGTGGCGTTATTTCGTTTAGAGTGACTTGGAACCTTTTTTTGTAGTGCAAGCTCCGAAGTCTTTGTTCATAGTGAGGTACCCTAAAAGTCTTCATTTAAGAACATTTTGCACTAGATGTAACCCTTTTTTATCAACTTAAGCTAGAGATTTATAAATAGCATAAATTGATATCTTTAAGACAATCATATAATAATAATATTATTATTATAAAAAACGTAACCTTAATTGTATGAAATCCAAAAACTTACTTTGATATTTCATAGAGGAACCTGTCAGCTCTCGCCAGCGACTCTATTTCGTCGCTGTGCTCCTCCAATAGAGCGCACTCTTCAGGACTAGGCGTAAACTTCAACAATTGCTCCACCATATCTATGGGAAGCTGTTCTTTGTGGTCCATGCTCAAAATTGCCTTGGTTATGTCTTCGTCGGACATTTTGAGCTTGCTTAGCAGAATGGTGCAGTTTTGAGCGCGCCTGCTGTCGATTACTGACAGAACTTTGCTACGGTTTTTGCCCAGTTTGGTTAAATCTTCGATGGAGCCTTCGTTCTAAAAAAAATGTTGTGAAATATCTTGGAAAATTATACAAAATCCAATAAAATGAGATTCAAAACTTTGAAATTGTAAAAACGTAAAATTTATGTATACTTACAGCAACTCCATTCTTCTGATAGGCGCAGAAAATTTTATCAATACACTCCAACTCCATGGTGTTATACAATTTAGAGTCATCCAATTCGCTCCAAATAGTTCCATTCAACTTGATATCAGGAATTTTACTCCAGTTAAAACTTTTTAATGGATTCGACGGTTGTGGTACATTCTTCTTCACACTCTCAACTTTAAGAGCTTGCACTGGCGGCGCCATTGGTGCGCATGGTGGGGGTGGAGGACCTGGGACCATGGGTGGAGGCGGGGGTGCCAACGGGGGCGGCGGAGGTGGGGCGGTAAACTCCTTCTTCAACTCCAAGTCTTGCTGTAACGATATCACTTTAGCGTCGTCGGGAATGTTGCCGGAAGTGACTAGTTTTTCCAGCCGGAAACGCTCCCCCCTCTCGCTATTTACCTGACGATCTAGATCTGCCGCTCTGTATTCTAGCTCTGATAATCTTTGACGGGTTTCTATATGGTTGGCGGTCTCCTTCTCCAAGCGTTCTTTAATTCTGCTGAGGGATGATTCTATATCCTCTTTTTCTTGTGTTCTTTGATCCAACTCTTGTTCTTTTTTCGCCAAACGATTGGACATATCGTTGTTCTCCTTTTCTAATTCGTCAGCTTTCTTTCGAGCAGCTACCAACTCCTCCTCCTTTGCTAGTAAATGTACTATCTCTTTTACGTTTATGTTTATAGGACTTACGTCCAGATCTTTGACAACATTCTTCTGATTTTGCTGGAGAACAATTTGCTGTACGATTCTATCAAACAATAACCAATGTTGTGGATGACTTCCATAGTCCAGTGGCAGTAGAATACAGTGCTCCAAAAGCGATAACAAGTGAGGGTAGGCGGAAGTATGACTCAACTTCCTGCGTATCAAATCAAACATCGCCGTGGCGGATTTGGTATCGACATGTTCCTGTTCAAACTTCCTCGCCAATTCCCTCTCATCCTCATTCCTCACCATCTCGAAGAAATCCAAATGCCTATTCAAAGTCTCATTCTCATGACCACGTAACTTATCAATAATCGGCTGTATACCCAGCATCAAAAACTCGTATCGCAAATGCAACCTAAACTCCAAATTCTCCTGTCCCAAGCCGTAATTCAACACGGCATTTACGAAAGACATTATAGCCGTCTTCAAGTTAACTTCGTCCCTATAAACCCCCGTGGATTTATCTAGGTCGTTGATGATGCCTTGGAATCGTGTACGTTCGAACGCGTACTTTTGGTAGTGCGACATCGCGTCGAGGATTTTTTTGTGGCCACCCGAGACAAGGCATACCGCTCCGAGGATTTCTAGCACCGCTATTTTGGTTTTTATGTTGTCGCTGCTCAGAGATTGAGCTATGGTGTTAATTGAAGTGGGGTGGGCTAGTACGTGAGCTCTACCGGTCTAGAAAAAGGATAGGATGTGTTTTTAAAAAGTTGGAGGGTTTACTATGGCACGCCGTTTTAACATTTATTAAATAATTTTTTAATTTAAAATTTTATTTGTTTAAAATGTTCCTTATTAAAAATTTTAGGTTTAAATTTATAAATATATTATATGGGAAATTCCACGTGAATACGACACGAAAAAAACCCTTGCCATTTAGAAATTACTCGAAAATTTTCCACTCAAAATAAAAATTCAATTTTTAGTTTAGCACGGTTTATCGATTGTTTTTGGAGATAAGATTTTTTAAATTTTCATGATTATAACGATTTTGCCAATATATTATCGATCGTAACTTTGGTTCCAATTGAGCTATTCCGACGAACTATTTGAAATAAATATCTTTGATGCTGTGGCATATTGGCAAAAACTAAAAATCTATTTTCTGTTTGTATTTTTTTTTTGTTTTTAATCTTTAAGCGACTACAAGTTCTTTTATCAATATTAGATCGTGGCTATCAAAAAATTTTTTTAATTTTTAATTTAAATAATTTTGTTTTTTTTTTCACTTTCGGACATTTTGTAATATCAAAAATATTTTTTTATTTAATCTTTTTATATTTATTAATGATTCAATCATTTTACTTTATATTCATAGGCACTACTCTTTAATTTTTTTTAAACGATAACGATAAAGATAAAAACTTGTATTCGCTTAAAGATTAAAAATAAAAAAGTTAAAATTAAAAAAAATACAAACAGTTTAGAAAATGGATTTTTAGTTTTCGAAGAAAAAAATCATAGTGTGCCGATATGCCACAGCATCAAAAATATTTATTTCAAATAGCTTGTTTCAATACAAGAAAATTGAATGGTCTTTCGTCGGAATAACTCAACTGGAACCAAAGTTATGATCGATGATATATTGGCAAAATCGTTATAATCATGAAAATTTAAAAAATCTTATCTCCTTAAACAATCGATAAACCGTGCTAAAATAAAATTATAATAATATAATTATAATTGAGGCGTATACGGGTGGAGCGAAATATGAATATTTTTAAAATTGAAAACGCCTGTATATAGAAAACTTGTGTATGATAAAAAAAAATATTTTGGTGAAAAAAAAATATTTTTGTAATTCCTTCCACCGCTCCAGAGCTATCCTAAATATAAAAATCATAAAATTCAGACGAGTGCAGAAAACGGTTAAAAAAATTTTTTGAGCCAAAATCTTTTTAAGAGCATGACTAATTTTTCCAAAATTGGACACATTGATTTTCAAAAAAAAAAAGATAAATGGGGGCCCCCGATCAATTTTAAAAATACATTGACTGGGGGTCCGCCCATTTCGCTTGTTTTTTTTTAATTAAAGTGCTCAACTTTGACTTTACTTGAGAAATTTCAACCAATAACTTTTATTTTTAACAATTTTAAATTGATACATATTTAACAAAAAAATATTTACATTACATTTAAATGTAAGTCGATAATTTTTAATTTACAAAGTGTAAACGCTGCTTTAGCTGACTGCATATGCTGCGCTTTGTACACTGAGCGTCAAAATTAATGGATAATAAGTAAAAAAATTCTAACTCTAAAACGCCTTTACTAATCTTTATGAAATTTTGTATAAAAATACTTCAACTTATATCTCAGTTTACGTGTTCGAGGTTTTTCAAGGAAATATTTTTAAAGACCTTTTATTTAATAAAAAAAAACGTTTGAAAAATAACTTTTAGGGAATTTTTTTTTAAGTAAATAAAAAAAATATGCTGTTAAAGACCGTATTTTTGCTAGTATACCCTGAAAATTTTGTACAAATCAAACGAACAGTAACGAAGATACAGTGCTTCAGTCGGTAAAAATTACCCCTTTTTGATTATTTTGCTGAAAAATGGTCATTTTTTTACTGTTGGTTTGATTTGTACAACATTTTCAGGGTATGCTTACAAAAATACGGGTATTCACAGCATATTTTTTATTTACTTAAAAAAATCCCTATAAAAGTTTTTTTTTGAGCGTTTTTTATTATTAAATAAAAAGGCTTTAAGGATATTTTCTCGAAAAACCCTTGAACACGTAAACTGAGATATAAGTTACAGTATTTTTATCCAAAATTTTATAAAGATTGGTAAAGGCGTTTTAGAGTTAGAATTTGTTTACTTATTATGCGTTAATTTTGACGGGCAGTGTACTTTTCACCGACTATGGACTATGCTTAAAATTGACCACTCTAGAAAGAGACAGCGTACGTCGTTTGCTAAAGCTACGTTTAAACTTTGTAAATTAAAAATTATCGAATTACATTAAATGTAAAGTTACCTATACATTTTGTGTTAAACATGTATCAATTTAAAATTGTTAAAAAATAAAAAAAAATGGTTTAAATTTGAGAATAGTCATTTAAATAATAATCGATAAATTTTTAATCCAAAAATTACCACTTTAAAATTTAAAAATTACATTTAAATCATTTAAATGACTTTACAAATTTAAACTGATAATTTTGCAGAATAAAATATTTACCTAACTAAAATAATTAAAAATCAGTTTGTTTAAACTTAAATTTTTACAATTTATTTTATATTTAAAATATTTTTTGAATATCAATTGTTCCGAGTTATAAAAAATTAACTTTGTAAATTTCTGTTCACACATCATTAAAGTGCTAAACTTTAATCTTTAAACTATTATCTTATAAATGCTAAAACGGCGTGCCATAGTTTACAGAAAAAGTTCTCAACTCCAAAATCATTAAAAATGAAATAGTTTAAACATCGTGATAAAGTAAGTAAAAATATAAAAATCCAGTCGTAAGATGTAAGGATGTAAACAAATTTGGTGACTTATTGAAAATCGAAAAAATTCAATTAAATTAGCAAAAAAATATTATGAAATCGTAAAAAACCCTATAAAATTTTTTTCTACAAAAAAAGGCAGTATACTGTCTACTTTTTTACCCTATAGGATACTTACAGAATTGTTCATAAGGGCCTTCACGCAGCCAATAAGACTCGTATGTATGGAACTCTGCGCAGTGAAATAATCCATATTGACCAAGCACATTAACAACGTAGGCAACCCGTCCAACTCGATGAACTTGATGACGAAACTGTGCGTCGACGTCCTCAACGCCGTTTTCAAGCCGTCGATTTGCTTCGTGCGGCATCGCACCTCCTCGTCGCCGATCGGCTCGGCCTCGTGCGCGTTCGCAAGTTCTTTCAGTCGTTCGATGTAGTGATCGGGTGCGTGCGCGGCGTCAACTGCGTCTTCTCCTCCTTTCCGCGAGCAATAAATTTGCCATTTTTTCTGCGGCGGGAGGCTCAACATTGCAGCCTTGTTTGGCGCAGTCAGATCAAGTTCTTCCTATAAGAAAACAAAGAAATAAACATTAAACATTAAACTTTTCACATGGCTAGACGCTCGATCGGGATATCCCGTGGACGAGTTTTCGTTCGTTCCGCGCATTACGTCACCCGATGAGTAGTAGCTGCGCGAATACTCGAATAAAACAATATTATTGAAGTTCTTCTAATATAGAGAAATATCTGGACATGGTGCGTTTTTTTTTTTAATTTGATATTAACGAGTGTAAATAATATGGATGCTACATGCTTTTAAAAGATATATACTATTTAATTCTATTTTTTATTAATAAAAAAAATACATTTGTTTTAACCAAAAATATATATTACATTAAAGTGTTAATTATATTAAAATGTACCCATACCTATTTTTTTTTATTATTAAAAGAAAATACATGAATTTAAACCAAAAATATTTATTAGGTACAATTTTAAATTATACTACAAAAATTACCAGAAAAATTTCAAAAATTCCTATGAATTTTTGTTTTTGTATTGATTTATTTTAAACGTTTTGTTAATTTATTGGGGTTTAAACTCCACCTTTTACATAAAAAATTAAAGTTTAATGGTTCCACTAATCTTAAAAGTTTGTAGATATTTGGTATTTTTTATATTTGTTCTTACATGACCGTGCACGGTCAATAAAGATGGTACGATGGTACCTTAGACGTTTACGGAGAACGGCTGAGGATATTAATTTGAAATTTTTATAGCAATTATTGTACAATTTAATCTACCTTTTAAAATTATTTTAAATAAAATTCCTCTTCCGGTTTAACCGGAAGCGACATCAACTTTGTTATTTCCAATGGAACACCCTGTAATTTTTTTTATTTTTAAATTCCTTATGAAATTCTTAATGAAATTGCTGTACCATTCTCTATACCTAAACTTAATAGTTTTCGAGTTAATAATTTTTTTCGTAAAATTTTGACAGTTGCACCTTCATTAAAAATAGCTTATAACTTTTTTGATATTCGGTTTGCTGGTATGCTGTAAGGATTTTTGGAATCTTAAAACATTGTTTTAAAGATTCCATGTCTGAAACTTTCATATTTATAAAAAAATTGTAACCAATTTTATAATTGAATCCCTCTTCTACTACTGCAACAGTAGTAATTGAATGCTATGCTGCAACAAAGTTTTAACCGCCAATATAAAAATTATAACTATTGAATTTTTCTCTTTTCATTTGTATTGCGCAGTTTGTTTTCAAAAACTTTTTTTTCTACGACCACTATGTAAAAGTCACTTTTCATGATGGCATCGTTGCTTAGAAAATGAATCTTTTCATTGGCAAGGCAAAACACGAATGTAAAGTGACATTTCTGTGTGAAAAGTGACAGGTCTGTGTGAAAAGAACCGGAAAGCATCGTTTGACATTCAGCTGTCAAAAAAGTTTTTAGGTTATTTTGTTTTGTATTTAAAAATAATAAAAAATAAAAGGGTCTCAGAAAAAACATTGTGTTATACTTGTGACAAAAGCTTTCTTCAAGCTCGTGCACAGAAAAAAATCTAACATAGTACCAAGAACAGCGCTGTCATTGAATGCATTAAAATTGAAGCAATCTAAATTGTTATTTCCTCAATTAATTACTATTAAACCAAAATAGGGAAATATTTTGCCTAAATGTCAAAGAATTTATTGCGTTAAATGTATACATAGTATACATACAATAGTAACGTTATTAAATAAATCAAATTAGTATTTAATGCAATAACATTCTACCATTCTAACAAATAAATATCAATATGAATATCAATAGATTTAGGAGCGATAACTTTTGATGTTAATTTAAAAACAGTAAACGATTATAAACCAAATGCTAACTACCTATTGGTATTATAGCAACTGTTATTCAGGAATACGGATTACAAGATCCCATTGGTTTAATGGCTCACCCATGCATGCTATGCTAGCGTTTTTTCTGTGTGTTAATGCACACTCGGCCTAACGGCCTCGTGGGCAACTTAAAAACTCGCATGAAAAAGTCGCTTTTCAACACTTGTAAAACAAATAACTATTATCTACGACCTGTCACTTTTCACACAAAATGTCATTTTCTAAGCAACGATGTCATTACGAAATGTGACTTTTGCATAGTGGTCGTAGAAAAAATTTGTATTGTATTTGTATATGTATGTCTAAATATCATTTAGAACACAATTAATTGTGTTTGTATAATAAATTCTAATTTTTAATGCCTTTATTTAAAGTGAGAAGGTAAGTTTAAGATTAAAGTAACTTTAACTAATGTAAACACGTTTTTAGGTTATTTTGTTTTGTATTTGAATACAATAAAAAATAAAAGGGTCGTAGAAAAAACATTGTGTTTCGCTTGTGAGAAAAGCTTTCTTCAAGCTCGTGTAAATGCACACTCGGCCTGACGGCCTCGTGAGCAACTTAAACACTCGGATGAAAAAGTCGCTTTTCAACACTTGTAAAACAAATAACTATTTACATTTTATAATAATTAATAAAATGTATTACATCCAAATATGGCACACCGCATTTTAATTAATGCAAATGGCACAACACAAACTCAAACACAAAAAAATTAGTTAACGCATCACAAAAACAAACAGAACAGGTAAACAACGCAATAACAATCATTTAAACACTGAAAAGTAATTGGAACCTTATCGAACGCAAACACAACCAGTTTAAAGCCGGGTCTACAATTGTCGCAGGTCGAAGATCGCAGAACATAAGCTTGCGCAAAGCACCCCGCGACTTGGTGATGGAGCAAGGTTCTTTTGTCAGCTGGGTGCTTTGCGACCTGCGACAATTGTAGACCCGACAACAAAAAAACAGCAAGTAAACATCCAAAAACAACGCAAAAACCAAAAATTTAGCACTAGATAAGTAAAACGCACGTTACATCCACCTTACGGATTTAAAAATAGCTCAACGATTGACGACGCGTCGCGACGCGTCGTTCCCGCTAAATTAGCCCCGCCCTACATGCGCACCATCCTATCTTAAGGTGTATGTGTCTTGTTTTTTACCCTATTACTTTCACTTTTTTAACAGTTTGGGTCATCAAAATTTTTAGATAATTATAGAGACAGCTAATAATGCCCTTTGGTAGACTATAATTATGGGAAACGAATTAGGATTTTTTATTGATAACTTACCACGAGTTCAGCAAACTTCGAGTCCAATTCTTCCTCGCATGGCATTGGTTGGGTCGGTGTTATGGCCTGTAGTGTTAGAGTGCCTGTATTTTCCACCACGCAGTATGTTATTTCGGGCGGTTCGTCATCCTTTATAACAAATAATAAAAATAACAGTTATTTCTTATGTAGGTTTAAAAAAAAAAATTTTTTAAAGGTATATGGAAAATTGTTTTTATAAATTCGCATTTTTATTTCTATACCCTATAAATTTTATATTATAGTTAACTAGTTACAGCCAAAGATAATATCTTTATTATATTTGGTTACAGCGTCGTTAGATTTTTTATAAAAACGGTACACAATTTTTTAAAGCGGATTTCTAAATAGGCTAGCTAGGCGGTAAATTTTTGAAGGTGGAATTTTTTCCGTGGCCACTAACAAAAAAGTATCAACTTCGCGAATCTATTATCTCTTTACTTATAGCTTTATCGTAAATATTTTCACTCTAAACTAATTCTTATTTGCCTAGAAAATTTTTAAGGATGAAAGTAGTATAAAATAGTATCATTATCCTACACCTTCGGTGTCGGGCTCTTTCCAAAATATGAAAATGACCGAATGCATTTTTTAAAAGGCAATATGCTTTCAAGCAAAATTATGGATAATTTTTAAGCACTTGTGTAATTACCCCCGATAATTTTTTGGACATTTTCCATGTTTGTCGACATTTTCAGGGAATACTGGAAAACTTACGACATATTAGTGATGTCATTGTTAAGCGCGTTCTTTTGATAGTGTACCCTAGAAATGTTATCAAAATCGGGTTGTTTTTTATAAAAGTTACAGAGTTTTAAAACTTACCTAATTTTATTTAAATTTTTAAAAGCTTCCGTTATTTTAAATCTTTTTTTTTTCTTAAAAAAAAAATCCAACAAAAACACGCTATTTACAGCCCAACTAATAAAGTATCGTATTTTAGTCGGTATACCCTAAAACCTAACGTTAATCCGAGATATTAGTCTTTCTATTCCTTATAGAAATTACGCGTACTCGTATAATTTATATTTATTTATTTAGTACCGGTTGAAAAGAAAGTTTATTAATATAAAATACTAAAGCGGGTACTTAATAAAATAGGCTTACTGACATTAAAATATATGCGAGTGAATGGTGATTTTTTTTAAAGATATATTTAATTTTGAATGTCTATAATTTTACTTGATTTTGTCGAATAATAATGTAAAAATAAACGTTTTACAGGATGACATAATTAGACGTTTAGAGACTAGTTTGCTTTATATGGGGACATCTTATTTAGTAATTATATATAGCATGGAAAAGTGCATTGAATTAAGTAACGTTTTTTTAATCCTGATCTTGTGGGCTTAAAATTAAAAAATGAAAGTTATCTTTTAAAGTGCTTGAACCCGAAATTATTAATTAATCGAAGACAAATTTTTCATAAATTCCTACGATACGTTTCATGAGTCATCGGTGAAAAGAACGTGTTTTGTTTTTTGCGTTTGTGCCCCTGGGCCACGAAGCATCAACAACAACAACAGCAGCAACAAAAATCAACTTTCGCTTAAAAGTACAAACATATGTAACGTGCACAAAATTTAAATGTGTCAGATTTGTAATTAATAAAGATTATCATTAACACAAAAAATCCTAATGGCTTCTAATGCGAATAAAAATAAAACAATACGGCCAGCAATTTATCACGATTTGGTACCATTAGCTTTCTCTAATATCAACGTTTTGATAAATAATAATTTATGTGTTCAAAACGATATTATTGTTAGATTCTAAATGCCATTAACGCCAAAATTGGTATCATTTTCGATTAAAAGGTGTGGGTTATAATCTTTTATAATCTTTTTTGAATGTGGGAAAAAAAGTTTCCAGGCAATTTTATTTTATAAGATGTTTATTTATTTTGTTATCAAGATGAAAGTACCTACTTGTGTTTACTGCTATAATGCAGTGCCACTTCTTGAATTAAAGTAATATACTGGGTAAATTTCAAAATAAGTTTTATTATAACTCTCTAAAAATTATTTTTAACTTAATTATGTTGATTGCTAGTTTATTGTTAGTGCACCCTAAAAATGTCATCAAATTTCGACGATGTTTATTGAAGTTACAAGGTGCATTAACTAAATTTTTTTCAATTTTTTGTTAAGAATTTTTAGTGAATGTGAAAATCATTTCGAATTTGATCAAAATTACAGTTTATGTTAACTAAAATGTCCTTTTTCCAAATATATAAACAGATTTATTTTAAAACAATAACAAAAAATTTATAACCGACTATTTCCCTCGTCTTAATTTCCACCAATCACAAACGCGCAATTTTGAATTACAAATGGTTTCTAGGTGAAAAAACTGTGTGACAGCACCTGTCAGCAGTTTTTTCGAGTTTACCCGCGGCAAAACTTGACAGCTGTTGTCACCAAAAATTGCAATTTATATTTTAATTGTTAACTGTTACTCATGAAATAGTCTTGTCAAATACCATTCGGGCATCTAATTTTTCCTGTGAAAAAAATCGAAAAAACACAATGCTAAGTAATATTTTTTAACAAAAAGCATTCGTGCAGGTGCAAAAATCCTCCTCTTCGACTCGGATTTTTGTTGCCACCAGCACTCATGCTTTTTGTTAAAATATTACTTAGCAACGTGTTTTTTCGATTCTTTTCGGAAAAATTAAATGCCCTTATGATATTACTTATGACTATTTCCCTCGTCTTAATTTCCACCAATCACAAACGCGCAATTTTGAATTACAAATGGTTTCTAGGTGAAAAAACTGTGTGACAGCACCTGTCAGCAGTTTATTCGAGTTTACCCGCGGCAAAACTTGACAGCTGTTGTCACCAAAAATTGCAATTTATATTTTAATTGTTAACTGTTACTCGTGAAATAGTCTTGTCAAATACCATTCGGGCATCTAATTTTTCCTGTGAAAAAAAATCGAAAAAACACAATGCTAAGTAATATTTTTTAACAAAATGAATTCGTGCAGGTGCAAAAATCCTCCTCTTCGACTCGGATTTTTGTTGCCACCAGCACTCATGCTTTTTGTTAAAATATTACTTAGCAACGTGTTTTTTCGATTCTTTTCAGAAAAATTAAATGCCCTTATGATATTACTTACGACTATTTCCCTCGTCTTAATTTCCACCAATCACAAACGCGCAATTTTGAATTACAAACGGTTTCTAGGTGAAAAAACTGTGTGACAGCACCTGTCAGCAGTTTATTCGAGTTTACCCGCGGCAAAACTTGACAGCTGTTGTCACCAAAAATTGCAATTTATATTTTAATTGTTAACTGTTACTCATGATATAGTCTTGTCAAATACCATTCGGGCATCTAATTTTTCCTGTGAAAAAAATCGAAAAAACACAATGTTAAGTAATATTTTTTAACAAAAAGCATTCGTGCAGGTGCAAAAATCCTCCTCTTCGACTCGGATTTTTATTGCCACCAGCACTCATGCTTTTTGTTAAAATATTACTTAGCAACGTGTTTTTTTGATTCTTTTCGGAAAAATTAAATGCCCTTATGATATTACTTACGATAACTTATCGGTCTTTATATTGGGGGTTGTCAAAATCCCGGCGCATTCGCCATTTTTGCAACTGTTAAAGTCAAGTAAATTTAAAATCGCACTGTTACTAACAGAAGTATACGCACTTTTTAATAATGTTATGGATAACGTTTTTTTACCGTATGTCCTGAAATAGCTATTTGTGTATTAAGAGCGCAAAGTGATACATTGCCGCTCTGAGCGAGAAGTTTGACTCGCGAGAGCGGCAATGTCACTTTGCGCTCGGATTACACACAGGATTTTTCTATAAGAATGTTTGGTAAAAATTCAAACACATGTTATATGCTAACAAAAGCGTATACCCGCTAAACATAAATATCATATTTCCCGAATTAATGCGAACACGTTTAAGTCTCTACCGAAAAATTGCTTTTTTTGACTTATACCCTTATGCCTTTTACCCGCTTGGCGAGCGACAAAGTAAAAAAACGCTCGCTCCTCGGAAAAGTGCAACTTTGCGCTTTTTTTTTGGAAGTGCAAATTTGTACTTTTCTATAACTAAAAATTTAATCAAATTGCAGTAAACTCACAATTTACACAACAAGGTCTGTTCCACAATATAAGGTCTGTTCTATCTCGTAATAAAAATACCACAATCCACACAACAAGGTCTGTTCTATCTCATGCTAAAAATACTAAAAATCACTGCAACATGTTGCAAAACTGCACAGAGTTTAACGGAGGCCATTTTTGTTGTTTACAATACTTGTGCATTGGGTTTGTGCTGTTTAATAATTGTTTTAAACGTTGTGTTTCTTACAGAGGCACTTGTAAGCCTCAAATAAGGCCTTTAAGTGCCAAGGACAACCATTTTACTCCTCTTTTATAATAAATATACCTTATTCTATCAGGGCTGTCAAATGACAATTTGAAGGTTAATTTGTGGGTTATAATTTAACCTTAAAATTGACATTTGACAGTTTTATGACAGCCCTGATAGAATAAAGTTTATTTTTTACAAGAGGAGTAAAATGGTTGTTCTTAGCTCTTTAAGGCCTCTTTTAAGGCTTACAAGTGCCTCTGTAAAAAACACAATGTTTAAAACTATGATTAATCTATATAAACAGCACAAACCCAAAGCACAAAAATTGTAAACAACAAAAATGGCCGCCGTTAAACTGTGCAGTGTTACAGTGATTTTTTTGTATTTTTAGTACGAGATAGAACAGACCTTGTTGTGTGGATTGTGAAAAATACTAAAAATCACTGCAACACTGCACAGAGTTTAACGGCGGCCATTTTTGTTGTTTACAATTATTGTGCTTTGGATTTGTGCTGTTTATACAGATTAATCATAGTTTTAAACATTGTGTTTTTTACAGAGGCACTTGTAAGCCTTAAAAGAGGCCTTAAAGAGCTAAGGGCAACCATTTTACTCCCCTTTTGTAAAAAATAAACCTTATTCTATCAGAGCTGTCAAATGGCAATTTTAAGGTTAATTTACCATAACCCACAAATTAACCTTAAAATTGACATTTGACAGTTTGATGATAGCCCTGATAGAATAAGATTTATTTTTTACAAAAGAGGAGTCAAATGGTTCTAAGGGCTAAACGATTATTAATCTGTACGAACAGAGAACAAACCTTCAATTTTAAGGTTAATTAACCATAACCCACAAATTAACCTTAAAATTAACATTTGACAGTTTGATGACAGCCCTGATAGAATACTCAGAAAAAACGCTAGCATAGCATGAATGGGTGAGCCATTAAACCAATGAGATCTTGTAGTCCGTATTCCTGAATAACAGTTCCTATAATACCAATAGGTAGTTAGCACTTGAATTATAATCGTTTACTGTTTTTAAATTAATAACAAAAGTTATCGCTCCTAAATCTATTGATATTTATATTGATATTTATTTGTTAGAATGTTAGAATGGTATTGCATTAAATATAAATTTGATTTATTTAATAACGTTACTATTGTATGTACACTATGTATACATTTAACGCAATAAATTCTTTGACATTTAGGCAAAATATTTCCCTATTTTGGTTTAATAGTAATTAATTGAGCAAATAACAATTTAGATTGCTTCAATTTTAATGCATTCAATGACAGCGCTGTTCTTGGTACTATGTTAGATTTTTTTATGTGTATGGTTTATTTTTTACAAAAAATGAGTAAAATGGTTCCCTTAGTACTTTAAGGCCTTTTTTAAGGGTTCCAAGTGCCTCTGTAAGAAACACAACGTTTAAAACGAATCTGCACAAACCGTTTAAGTCTGTGCAGTGGGTTGCTTAACTTCGTGATTTTTAGTATGCGCGAAACAAGATAAAAAAGACCTTGTTGTGTGGATTGTTGGTATACTAATAAAAAACACGATTTGTTTTGGTCGCATTGTAAAAAACGTATTCTTGTTAATAAACCCTAAAAATTTCGTTTAAATATTATCATTTTTGTAAATGTTATTATAAGCATTAAACTTTTTAATAATTAAAAAAAATATATATTCAGTTTTAAAGGTCTGTAACTTCTACAAAACCAATACAATTTTAATAAGGAAATTTAACGGAATTTTCAGGGTATACCGATAAAAATACGACTTTTAAAATGCCACCACCAAAAATTACGTGGTAACATTACCAACCCTAAAAATTCCACAATTAATAAAAAAAATTCAGCACTTTTACAAAAAACTACTAAAAAATGTTACTTAGATCACTTTGGCTGGTACTTACTTGCAAGCAGCCGCACCAGCCGCGCTTGGCGCGCACGGCTGGCATGGCTGGGATGTGTAGTCGCGGCAGCGTCCCGGATATTGTGTCCCAGCCAGGAATTTTGACGGGACACTTGGGTAAACCCTGGAACAAATACGGACAAAATTAAACACTTTAGTGGCGTTCTAGTTTCGACTAATCTGCTGTTTGTCTGTGATTTTAACGTGCAAATATGTATGGTGACGTGTCGTCGTCGATAAAAACCGCAAGATAAATACGATAATTTTTATATTGTCTTGGTAAATTGCTTGGGTAGTGTAAAATAAGACTTTCTTTTATGTTCGAAATAGTGCTATTTCTTGTAATTTTAATCTATTTTGTAATTTGAACACAACATTGTTTAAATGAACATTTAAATTAACTAAAATTATTTTTCAGTTCGCATATGGAGTCTTATATAATCCCCCAAAAAACCACAATAAAATTCATTTACAACTCAAAAGCAATAAATATTAAGAATTTAGTGATGTTTCAATAAATTGTTATATAAAGCTCGAAACATACAGGCGTAAAAAAGTGAAACCTCAGATATTTTATTATAATATGAGCTCATTAAAATTTTAAATCACCGTTTATCTTTCATGGAAAAAAATCAAACCTAATGTGACAGTTTCCGTTAATTAATTAGGTGTTTTTAAGGAAATTTTAAGATTAATTAGTCGGTTTTTGTGCGAATAGTCCAGTTAATTATTGTTTTGCTACTTGTTTTAGAGAAATTATTAAGTTACAGAAATGGTGACTATAAAAATGTTAATAACTTTCACGAAAATAATGTTATTAAAACTGTTTAATTTTCTTAATGTTTTTTGTATTAGTTACAAAGTTTTAAAAACTTTAGAAATGTAAACGTTTTTGATATTTTGTAAAGTTCTTAAAAAAAAACTTTTTTTGTAAAATTTAATCCCAATAAATAATAGAACAATTTCGTTGTTTACAAAAACAAAGCTATGTAACTTCTACAAAATTAATCAAATTTTGAAGGTATGCTAATCATTAGCAGCTAATGTACCCTCTCTTTCGATTGTTTTTATGAAAATTGCTAATATATAAGTACTATAAAATATATATAAGTAAATTCCTTCAAAAAAATGTAAAAGTTAGAATTTTGACATTTTTACGAAAGTTACCCGATTTTAATAATTTTTTTAGAAAACACCAAGAAAAATAAAATCCTTTTATTGTAACAATATTCTATAAAAGATATGATTTTTTTTTCAAGAGTATACCTATAGAAACACTTTATTTTAGTACGCAGTTCAAAAGTCAAATTATTATACACCGCCGTACAATAATGAAAATACATTGAAATTAGACAGGAAAAGTGGATCCATCTGTCGAGTTTAGCAAGAAATTAACAAAGAAAATGTAAAATTACAGATTACTGCAGAATAAATTCATGTACATAACCTATAATATATAATATATGTCACACGTCAAACCTGGTAAAATGTCGCAAAATCGACAATTTCAATTTAAGTACAGAATTATTAAAGGCTTGAAAAAAATATTTACAACACGGCGGAGAAAGCAGTAACTTCTTTGGGACTTATTTTTCAAAATCACTGTTAACATTTTTAAAAACAGTCTATTTTTATTATTGTTTACTACACATTTCATTAAAATTGCATTTTCAGTATAAAAATTACAGAATGTCAACACATAGTAAACTTAAAAGCTCTGTAACTTGTAAAATTTTAAAGGTATTGTTTAAAATTGCCGTATATTTGCTAATACCCTAAAACCTGTCAAATATCAAATTGTACGCAACTTCCAATAAATAAAGTCAACTTTTAAGTGTTGCATATTTAACTTTTAAGTGTTGCATATTTTACAAAATTAATCAAAATAAAACAAAAAGTTATACTATTGTAAACTTTTTTAAACTTCTACAAAAATTTTATAATTTTAATAAAATTTGGAGAGAATCCCAGCAAAAAAAGTTGCACCCTTCATTAATGTAGCTTATAAGAGATTTCATATTTATATAAAGTTAAAAATAAAAATCCGAAAAAGGAATTTGTCCGTAGGTTAGAATGTTTAGCAAAGTGCATGTCATTACTAAGAGTGGCCTGAGGCTTAAACATAGAAACCTACTAACGAAAACAAGTCTTGCTCGTAGAATATACAACCTATTCGGCGAATGAAAATACTTATAAGAATTGATGAAGCGTTAAAGTTAAATCGAACTTTTTCCTTTTATTTATTGATATTCTACAGTAACTCTTTAATAACATTTTTAACAAAAAAAACATAAACAAAATTATTTTTATGACATTTAATACAATAATTTCTGAAGGTATTCGCAACTTTCATTAAATGCCCGAAGAGTAATAGTTTTACATTAATTGCAAACGTTGTAATAAACGATTTTCTAACTGTATAAACAATAATTTTACATTTACAGCTATTAAATGTGAAGTGGATATCATTTTAATCCGGAAATGGATGTAGGATCTTACAAAACGAACGAATATTTAATATGTTTACATAACAATAATTATGTATAAATAAAATTATTGTATATGTCAAGTTTGACTATTTTTTTTAGCGTATACCGATAAAAACATGAAATTTTAAGTATGATTTTTTTAATAGCAATATTTCTTTAGTAGGTATATCCTGTATTTTTTTTAAATCATGTAACTCTTCTAAAAGTTACAGATGCATAAACTTAGTCATTATTACAAAATTTCTAACATTTTAAACCATATACCATATACCTACCCCTAAAATTTCATAAATTTGACAATTTTTGTTAAAAATATTAAAGCTTAAAAGTTGAACAAAATAATAATAATAAATTGAAAATAATTCATCACATATTTCGAAAACTCATTGTCGAGGGTCTATTGCCTTATGACAAGTTTAAGAAATATTCTGGAAAAATATTTTCTAATTTAACTCTCGAGTGGTATACGTTAAAGGAGCATCGGGTTTTCGCAACGCGTGCGCCATCTGGTGGCGTTCGATAGCATTATTAGACTACAAGGTTGGTCAAAAATACATTTAAAGCATAGGTACACAGAAAAAACGCTAGCATAGCATGAATGGGTGAGCTATTAAACCAATGGGATCTTGTAATCCGTATTCCTGAATAACAGTTCCTATAATACCAATAGGTACTTAGCACTTGGTTTATAATCGTTTACTGTTTTTAAATTAACAACGAGTTATCGCTCCTAAATCTATTGATATTTATATTGATATTTATTTCATTTAATGTTAGAATGTTATTGCATTAAATACTAATTTGATTTATTTAATAACGTTAATTTAGTATGTATACTATGTATACATTTAACGAAATAAATTCTTTGACATTTAGGCAAAATAATTCCCTATTTAGATTGCTTCAATTTTAATGCATTCAATGACAGCGCTGTTTTTGGTACTATGTTATATTTTTTAAATGTGTATTATTCTTAAATAAATAAATTAAATAACTTTTTCACAAATTTTGTTGTATTTGCTATTGCACAGATTAACCGCGCACGATATTTGTGTTTCGCGTTGCAAGTAAAATGTAACTCAACTCGGACATTTTTAAGAAATCTAACAAAAAATAATATATTATAACTATAGTTACCGTAAACACGGGTGGCTTTGGCTCACTTTCAAACTTAAGCTTAAAATTTTTGTGGTTTTAACAATCATAAACATTACCAAAATTTGAGTCTTGAGTTGCTCTTTCATAATAACTATGTTATAATATTACATAGAGCTGAGTTTCAAAAATAAAAATTAAAAACTGGGTGTGCAAAGTTACCCCCTGCTTGCGGGTTACTTTGTCTCAAAGTGTATTTTCCCTATAAAATGAATTCAATATTATATTTTATTTTTATTAGACATGTGTTATCAGAGACATATATCTATTGCAAGGGATTACCGATAAAAAAAATAAAAAATCGACCTGTAGTTAACCAAGGATCATCATTCCAATGGATTGCGCATAATATAGAAATTGTTACGCGTGTATTTCTAAGAGTTTTGCACTGATGCGATATATACAATTTTAAAGTGTAATAAATCCCATTTCTTTCTTTAAAACACTGATTTTCCTGTAATATAAACTCAATAAAATCGCTCAATTGACAGGTTTAGACCAACAAATTATAAATGTTAATTTTATCGAGCGCGAAAAGATTTTTCATAAATGGGTTAAAGTCACCCGCACTGAGAGAAAAAATGTTGTAAGTGTAATAAATCCCATTTCTTTCTTTAAAACACTGATTTTCCTGTAATATAAACTCAATAAAATCGCTCAATTGACAGGTTTAGACCAACAAATTATAAATGTTAATTTTATCGAGCGCGAAAAGATTTTTCATAAATGGGTTCACCCGCACTGAGAGAAAAAATGTTGTAGAATCATTCAAAACGACAATAATTCAAAGGGGTTCAAATATGTTTTGGCGTCATTGGTGTGTCCCATTAAATTAATAAAGATAATAAAGATAAAGATAAATTTTATTCAGCAAAAATTACAAAATTAATAAACAATATAACAAATAAATTTTATTGAGTGCACCTAATAGGTGTATAACAATTTTATAATACATATCTTTTTGAAACAACGTTGAGAAAGGAAATTAAATAAATAGATTTCTTTTTTTATATATATTTTAAAGAGGGTACACTTTAACAGTGTTTAAAAGTATTGTAAAACTGTTGGTAAATGAATATAAAACTACAAATTTTTCTATTTGAATCAAATTTACCCGATTATTTAAATTAATATAATTTTATATGCTTTTCATGGCATAATATTTCTCTGAGTGCGCGGGGTGCAAAGTCACCCGTGTTTACGGTATACAAACATAATCAAACTTAACTGTTTTGATTTTTGACATTTTGGCGCCCAACATGTAAAACTTTTTTAAATGATTTGTAAAGTCTGATTTATAGATTGCCTTCCTTCCTTCCGTAGAAGATGAACAATACAAAAACCGTTGTGCTGTTTAAAGATTCCCGTACGGGAATCTATAAATGGCACTACGATTTTCGTATTGTTCATCTTTTACTGGAGGAAGGAAGGAAGGCAATCTATAAATCAGGCTTAACTCCTACAAAAACTCTCCGATTTT